GTGGGGTATATACAAACACTATACCTCAAATAAACAAACAAGAAAGAAAAACACTAGGTATTGAAAGAAGTACGTAGGGAATTAATATAGGGTAATGTGGTACAGAATAACTGGCTGGCCACTTTAATTTGGATGATCTGAGAAGGTCACAATTAAGTTGAGGTCTCAGTGACAAAAAGCTGAGAGCTGAAAGACAGTCAAGCAAAGATCTGGTAAAAGTACATCAAGAAGAAGGAACAAGTAGGTCAAAGACCCTAAGATGGAAATGAGATTTCACATGTTCAAGAACAGCAGAAGACCAGTGTGAAAGAGCAAGAGAAGGGTTTTGATGAAATGGGAGAGATGGGCAGGGCCAATTCATGTGAGACTTTCTAGGCCAGGTTAATGAGTTTGGATGTTATATTATTAAGGCATTAGGAAGCCTTTGGAAGGGAGCAGCATGATCTGATTTATACTTTTAAAAGGCATTTGACTTCTCTAATGAGAATGGATTTATGGGGGTGGGGAGTTGAGAGTGAATGTAGGAAGTTGAGAGACTGTTTCGATTACCCAAATGAGAGACAATAGTGACTTGGACCAGGGGTGTTGTGTGGGGGTGCATGGAGAAAAATGCATTCATTGATTTGGAATGTTTTGAAAGTAGAGTCAACAGAACTTTATAATGGTTTGGATGTGGAGAGTGGAAGCAGTAATCACTCCAAGGTTTGGATTTAGAAAATGGATGGATGGTGGTACCATTTATTGAGATATTATTGGAAGGCTTGAAGAGGAGTAGGTTTAAGGGGCATGAAATCAAGGGTTTAGTTTTGGACACGTTAAGTTTGAGAGACCACTTAAGATGTAAGTGGAAATGTCAGATGGTTGGTTATACGTGCCTGAAGTTTCTGGGAAAGATTTGGGTTGGAAACAATTTTGTAAATCATCATCAAATAGATAGCAGTTAAGGGAAATGAGACTGGATGAGGCCATTAAGCGAGTGTGTGTGTGTGTGTGTGCGTGTGTGTGCGCGCGCACGCGTGTGCATGTGCGCACGCACACATGCATGTATGTTTCTGATGAGAGAAGGTCCATGTATTTGATCATGTTCTCTAAGGTGTTCACAACCCACCAAAGGTTAGAAATTCACTGCTGAAATAGTTTACCTTGAGATCGTGGTTTGGAGATAGATGTAGTTCACTACTTCTTTTTTCCCACCCTTGGGCAGTTACCTTTGAAAATGGGGCTGCCTTTACACATGACAATCTGCAGAGACGCATGCCAAAATGCACATTCTTGGGGTCTGGAAGTGAGGTCCAGGAATGTGCATTTTTAGCAGCTCTCTGGGTAATTCTGTACATTTCGCCCCAGCTCTTTCTGTGCTTCAGGTTCACTGATGCCTTCTTCAGTGTCTATGTTGTTATGTCTATGCAGTGATTTTTTTTCCATTTCAGATATTGTATATTTTACTTCCACAAGTTCCGTTTTGTTCTTACCCAGATCTTCCATTTTTCTCCTAGTTATGTAAGTTTTCCTTTAAATCTCAAACATTGTAATAGGTGTTTTTAAAATCTGGTCTGCTTATTCTATTATCTCTGTCATTTTTAAGTCTCTGTCTATTGACTGATTTTTCTCCTGATTATGAGTCACATTTTCCTGCCTCTTTACATTTTTAGTTATATTTTTGGATGCTTTACATTGTAAATATTATATTGCTGTATGTCTTGGATTTTGTTGTCTTCCCTTAAAAAGGGTTGAACTATATTTAGTAACTTTAGGATCAGCTCAATCATTCCAAGGCTGCTTTCTAAGCTTTCTTAGGGCTAATAAGGTATGGCCTTCCTAGAATCTCTGCTGAATGTCTCAGGCTTCTCTTTGCTAGCTGGTCAGAACTCAAATATCTCCCAGCCCTCTGAGCTCCAGCAGTTATTCAGCTTGTGAGTGTTCAGTAGTTGTTTGTTTAATTATTATATTTTTTATTGTTGACAGTATTACAGATGTCTCCCATTTTCTCCCTTTTTGCCCCCCTCCACCCAGCCCTCACCCCACACTAGGCCTTCCCCACCCTGTTGTCTATGTCAATGGGTTATGCTATGCATATATGTATGTATGTTATTT